AGGATGTGGTTTCGCTCTTAGTTTTGGTGCATACCGTATACAGCCGACGTTTTACGTCAAAACACGTTGGTGGTCTGTGGATTATCTATGGTTAGATTCATTAATTTTTGTCACTATAAAAATATATTTATTTTTTCCTTTCGATCTTTCTATAAAATATTTTATATGTTCATTTGAAGTATAAGATTGAGAGGAATATATTAATATTAAAGAAACATCGTTATAAAAATTTTTTGGTATTTTTTTAATGACAAGTGATAATTACGAAATAAAATATATATACACTAGCGGTTATATCGCGTTTCCAAGAGAACCTTTCAAAAGTCTGGGATAAAAACTATCCTGTTCTTTCTCAAGGTCAACTCTATGTGTGTACCAAATTTCATTAAAATCAGTTCAGTGGTTTAGGCTTGAAAGACAGACAGAGTTACTTTCGTATTTATAATATTACTAGTAGGGATATGTATATAAAAATAATATTTTTAACATATATATAAAGCCCATACAATAATCTAGATGGTCTGTCAATTTGTTCTTTTTACGGTCTGTACGCAAATCCCATCATTACAGAGATTCGCGCCTCAGGAAGTTATCTAGTGATGGCATCGGCATCGGCTACCGTGATCTATACATCTTAGAATAATATTTATAAAACATTATATAATAAATAATATAATTATTTAATAATAACTTTATTTAACTTAAAATCTCGTATCAAAAGATTCTGCTACATATCTTTTCATCCCTTTAGTATACCCACAATTGGTAATTTTATCTTCTTTGTATATTTTGTAGGTTCGTTTTTTTTTTAAATATAATTTTGTCCGTACATATGAAACTTTGATTCACTTTTCATTGACCTGACTGACACACATTTAAAACCTTATAATTATCTGTGTAATTTATCTTTTATTTTAATATACCATTGAATTCTTTTGGAAAAAAAATGTGGCAACATGATTATGTGCTCTTAAAAGTTATTTACATCTAGTAAATGAAAAAGATAAACATGTTTATAATACATTCATATCAATGCATAATTTTAATATGTAATGTTATTTTTATAACACGAATTTCGCGCTATAGTTGTTTTATTATGACCAAAACGTTTTGTGAGCTATTTTTCCGTTGACAGCGTTTTCGATATTTGAGAACAACAATTTAATAGTATCAAACACAACCTTTAAAATGACGGCAGAATTATGTAAACCATTTAATATTATTACATTTATCGATATAATGATGGAACAACACTAACTTCTAGTGCGTGTAACCATCTTAGTGTCTGAATAGTTGTTCAAAGCTGCATTTTATGGTCTCTCTAATATTATCATCAGCTTTATACTTAGGACTTAAACTGTAAGCTTGTGACTTTGTTATATGGCCTGTCATTACTGCCATTTCGTATTATTAAATACAATTAAAGGTTAACACGAATAATACGACATTGTTAATCTTTTTTTTTAATTTAAACTCATATATAAAACCTCTTTGTTCGGTGGCAGAATATAAAAATAATACGCAAAACGTTCGATCAAAAACTTGACATGTCATAGATAGTGTCAGTCTTGTTAAGTGATGCGGAAAAACTGAAGATGAGATCAATAGATACAGTGATCTGGTTAGGGTATCGATTAAAATATCGATTCGCTAATAAATATATACGAACATTCATTAAAAGTTATACAGATATTTATAACGGATGACGTAAAAATAATACAGTCGATCATATTAAATGACGCTATTTTTCCCGCCTTTTTTGAAGTGACAGTTTATTTTTTTTTTTTTTTTACAGTCTGTTAGCATCCTAATGGCTCTTTTATCTCACCGACGGGACGTTTAAAAAGTGAAACTTTAAAAAACTATAAGAAATCGAAAGCAATTTCTCTCTTGTCCTATTAAACGCCACGGGACTCATTATCTAGTTAACACGTGTTAGAAAAAAGAATTCAAAAAGTCAACCGATTCTCATAGTATTTTAATATTAATCGACTACATTTGTTGCTATCACTATATTGGGTGGTTTTTGTCGTCTACTTTTACTTTTTTTCTCTCATTAAGATAATTTTTGTTTATTTTTTTTTTTTATGTTGGCACTTCCCATAATGTTTTATAATCTGTGGTAGGTGCAGTGTCCGTCGAGGCAATCTCAACATTAAAACTTAATGTACAATTAAGGCAACGAAATCAAACCAATTATGTGTTGTATCGGAGTAGTGTGAAATACAGGAAGAGAGAATAATGACTCGTCTCTAAATTGTAATTCAATACTATCAAAAACAATTCTTAATTCTTATGCATAGTTTAATATGTATAAACTTAAAATTATTATAAATTAAATTATTGTTGTTGCACTGATTGACTTGCACTGTTGCAATTATTTAAAAAAAAATCAAAAATTTAAACGTGGTCACATTATGTACTTTAGAGAACAATTTTTAAATTGTCCTATTTTAATTAAAACTGATTTTTTTTCTTATTGTTTCCCGCGAAGAAGCCTTAGTATATAAATAATTTAAATATACATATATGTACATATATTGAAATATTTTATTAGATCGAATAGTATCAAAACTGACGTATATTATTTTGCACTTTATTTTAAACAGATGATAAATATTAAGATCAACTGACATACTTTTATCGCCTCTCGTCAGCCAGTGGAGTAACCGATCATATGACTTAAATAAAACCGAATGTAAATGGAAAATAGGAAATAACCTAAATAAAAATAAAATATGTTATAGTTTTGTAGAAGACTTTACTACAAATCGAATGGAAACAAATTAATACGTACGATCTCCTTACCTTAATCGGTTTCATTTTAATACATCAGCTTATAGAGCAAACTATGATACATATAGATCTTCATAGAAAAACGTTTTATTTTAATTATTATTTACGAAATAAAATAACAACTTATTATATAGTAATTTTGAGATAAAAATTTTTTCGTGATGTCAAGTTTATGAAGTGCGAGACTATGAAAAATTTCTTGAGTGATGATATCACTGATAACTTGATTCACAGAGTTTGTTTTGTCACACAAATATAGAACAAAGATTCTTCTTATATATTAAAGAAAACATTTTATTCAGGATCATTTTAATCAGGATTATTGCGATCTACACGCAACAGAAGAAAATACTGCAAAACATCTTGCAGTATTAGAATAGTGTTCTCTTGGGTATGATTGTTGCAGTGAAGAAATACAACTCATGATTGACAAAGACAAGATACATGACATTGGAAGATACAAAATTTATGAATCAAATACATTCATAGTTTAATTTAGGAACAATGTATTTACTGGCAGAAAATAGACTAAGTAAACTCCACAAAAATTTAAGCATCTTTGTATCATTTGAATTCCAGTAGAGACTTAGGAATCATGTGTAGTCATTTGTAATTTCGCAGATATAACAAGCTTTTATATCTAAAGAAAAGCTGAACTCAAAACTACTGTGAAGTTTTCTGACACTTTTCCCTTGAAATGTATAGACCTATGTACATAGTATCGAGATAGCTCTACCAGATTGAATCTGTAGTGACAGTTTAACAAGATCCCTTTTCTATTTCCATTTACTTACTGGGTCGCACCTAACTATAACTTTTCACTTGATACTAATAAAGTCATAAATAGTAAACACAAAATTCTAGAAAACCTACATAAATGACTCGCCATTTAATGGTAACAATACAGTGACCCTAGAAATTCTTTGTGAAAAGGATGAATATTTTTGTGTGACAGATTTGCTCTTAAGTTTCTGTTAATCATTGACTATGTGGATTTTACTTTTCTCCTATAACCATGCTAGAGTTATTCCATAGTATGGAAAAAATTGTTATATGTAATGCATTAAAGAAATATAATTTTTGATATAATATTGACAAAGTGACTAAATTTAAAGTTATTAATTTCTCATCTCACAGTTGCTGCAAAGTTACTGAAATATCCCCATATGTCATTTTGATAAATAAGGAAATAATGCTTAGTAATCTGAATATATTAATTTCATTAAATTAAAAATCAATAAAAAAATCATAAGAATAATAGCTAACAATTATTAAAAAGTTGGAAATTATAGTTTAAGTTCTAAAGTAGAAACATATGTGTATTATTTTTCACATAATATATAATATTTCTATATTTATATATTAATTTTCATTATAGATGACAAGACATCTTGAAGAATGTGAGTTTTAATAGTAAAAATTAGTTCTTATATATAGCTCTGGTGTGTTATATATGTATACTAAAATAAATAAGATGATTTTCTATCGCTGGGGTTTTGGTCAAAAAAATCTTTAAAAAATCCATATGATGTTGTCGATTTGAATATTGTTCATTATTTTGAAGTCCCTTGACTGTTAAGACGGCAAAACTTAACATTTGATCAGCCTTTTTTAAACAATTATCTATTATTCCTGTCGGTAAATAAATCTTTTTAAATAAGTTATAAGTTCATTGTTTACAAGATTAAATTTGAGATATATTGTATTGGTCATGTTAATCGAATATCTTGATAATATGTTAAATATTATTAAGTAAAATTAGTTTTAACTATTTATATACAGTATGCTACTAAAACATAATTGGAATTATAATAAGTTAACCAAATATGAATATTTTACATTTCAAGGAAAACTTTACTACTGAAATTCATATGATCTCATCTTTGTTATTATCAATATATACCTATGGGTATATAAGTAAATACAGATATTTACTTTAAAAATTATTTAAATTAAAATATTTAGAAGCAATTTCATATGAATTAGTTATTTTTATTACAAGACTGACATTAGAAACGAGTTTTTCAGGAATACGCCAATTCATTCTAAAAATACAATATATATGGAAGTTGCGCGATATTTCGTTTTGTTCTGAATTAACTAAGTATAAAATTTTAAGAACATGTTTGATATTATAAAATTAAATATCTCATTGCCTGTATTGTTGTATATATATTTATAAATAGGTAAATCTAAATATATACCTTTCCTTTGAGCGCGTAGACTGTTTTTCCGTTCCGTAAACTGGTGGTGTATAATAATATACCACCACCGATGACACAGGCACACGTCTTCCACACATTTTTATACGATTTACACTTAACTGTACTTAAATGTCGTGAAAATCCTGTTAAAAATTGCACTTTTTGTAATAATTTTCCCGAAGAGCGGCCTATCGTGGCCATGTTGGTAGAACAGCTTTTTGACATTGACATTTGTATTGAATAGAGAAAAAGTATGTGTCAAAGTTCAAAATGATAAGCTTAATAATTGACCTCTAGATATGCAACCATTGAATTAATAATGTATTTGAAAGATCTCAAACTGATTTATTTGTGTGCAATTTTTATAAAATATGCTAATTAAATTTTCATTACTTTCATAGATATGTCCATACATACACTCAAGAAACTATCTGCAAAATTTAATGTTTTAATTTCAATAGATTTATTTGAACAGTTCTAAATATATTTAATTTAAATTCTTTAGCAAAAATTGAACTTCATCTCATAACAATGGAGGTTGTATAAAAAAAATAATATAATAGACTTCAATAAACTTATTTTATTAAACAACATATCCTAATATAAGCCCTATATATCTTTGGTATAATTTTCAATTATTTTTGCATGATTCATCCTCTACTATATTGTGTACAATGATCTGTTCCTGTGGAACCGTTTCCATATCTTGAACCGAATGTAGTAAAACTCTCTTTATTGTCTCCATACTATCATAAACACCGTACTCCGCCTGCCATAGAATCGTCGTGATCAATTGTTGGACATTTCCCCGAGTTTGATTGCTTTTGAATTTCCTCAGTTTATTTCCCACATATTCCCCGAATACCGAGTACTCGTCTTTACGTTGGGTGTTGTCAATGACTAAACGTTCCTGTTTAGGATAGCTGGTAGGTTGATGTAAAACATATCTTGATACATGCGGCGGTGATGCTATTTCTCTCTTTATAGTTCTGCACTTCATCTTCTTTAGTTTTGGTTCGTAAGTCTCAACCGTTTGGTACATGTCCTCATTCAACCATTCCTCGTCTGATGCTCGGCTGCCATGCATCTGACGAACTATATTTATTGGCTCCTCAACAACTTCGTTGTGTGCCGTCTCATTTTCAGTCTCAGATTGTTCTAACACATCCACCTAAAATATAATTATTTATTATAAAATCATCTTCAACATTGTCTTTTAAATTACCTATATAATTAAGAGCAATATAATTTAGAAAATAATGAATAAATTCTTTAAGTAAGCTGATCAATTTGTTGATAAACAAATCTAAATCGATTACGTAATCTTTTCAATCGATAAAACTCAACTTATGTACAGACGATCAATTATTTTGATTCTCTCGATATATCTTATTATCGTCTAAGACGATCGGTACAAGCTTCAATCAATATTATTATGAAAAACCTAAAATAAATACCCGCTGTATTTCAATAACTGGCATTGAGCTCTCATCGGAGGGATTGCGGCTAGTTCGTTTCTTATTAAGATCAACGGATACAGAATAACGTACGTTATCATCTTTGTAGGCCTTTATGTATTTCCGTCGTTTATTGGTCGTACTATCATCCTCCTCGTAAACTCTGGCAACGGACTCGTCTAATGTTCCATTCTGCAGCATATCCCATTGTATCGGATGTTTGTTCACTAAATGTGTTCTCAAATTCGTTGTATTACCAAAGTACTTGTACTGACTATCACATAATTTACACAACACAGCTACACATCTCTTATTCTCTTCCAAACGATCGAAAAATCTCCAAACTAATGACGATGTTTTCTTCATATCGATTACTGATCAACTTACCGCCTAAATTTGATGTATTACAGAATCGAAACCGATTAAAAATGCATCGATATATTGTGAAATCAGACTGAGAACAAGATGGCGATGGACGAGTTGTATGCCAACTTAGAATCGAGCGATGGAAGGGGCGCTTGACGTTCAGTCGATATTGACGTTTGTGACTATAGCTCGGATGAATATTTTTTATCTGTTATATTGTATTTTTAACTTTTAATACTACTGCAGGGTAAAATATATTTGTTAATTTCATTGACAAATTATTTTAAAAATTTAAATATAGTATTTAATATTTCAAAGTTTACAGTTATGATTCCTATTGTGGTATTAGATAATTTTTAGTTTTAACATAAAAAGTGTACAAACGTTTAATATATACATTTCTTTATATGTAAGAATGCTAATATTCAAGACAATTTTGTACAAGTAGATTTGATTATCGTTAATTGTAACCTGGTTTCAATTAATTTAAATGAAATTATGAAAATCAATTGACAGAGAATCATGAATATTCATAAGACTGGGATGTCGAGAGAAATATTGAAATGGTTTTGATAAAATCTTTAATTGATTAATCAATTTATATTGATGACTTTATATAAGAGTTTTATTTGAAATTGCTTAAAATGTTTTATTGACAACTAAAACTTAAATCGATATCTCCTCTAAATATTATCGATTTCATAATAAGTATTCTTTAAAATGGCTAAGTAGCTTTTTTTTCTTACGTTCTGAACTCGATTACAATGTAGAGATTAATATCGCGAGTCTTAGGAACATTTTAATTGCAACTAGGTAATTAAAATGAAATAATTTGTAAAAATTATTAGTATTACTATATTCAAGATAAATATGTATGTATATAGTATAGGGCAGCCACACTATAAGTGTGTTCTGCAGAACTAAATTTATCATTAATAGGCAAATAGAAATAACGGTGTTCAAGGCTTGCAGCAGGAAAACTGCTTTCAAAAGAAAATTTTTATGTTTGGTTAATTTGGATTGGGAATAGACTAACAGAAAGCTTAATGTCATTCAGTGAGTTTAGTGATAGCGACTCAGATATCCCACGGGCGCAACTTTAGAGAAGTATTTTCCAGAATAGTACGATACAAAAATGAAACTGAATTTATAGATTCAGAAACCTTTTTCACACAAATTAAAAAAAAAAACCGAAAGTTGTCAAACTAGTTTACTTAACAATTTTAACTAGAAGCTTCAATATCATGTCTTTTCTGTCATTATAACAAAATCTTTCCATAGCTGTATCCGATTGTACTTAAACTAAATATTTTTGTTGCTATAAGCATCTTAGATTTTGATAATATATTGAGTCATCTTCAAAGCTTTATCAGATAATAGGTGAATGGAGAAGGTCATTAAATGATGATGATAGGAGGGAGACTCAGTTTTTTCTTATTGAAGGAACATGATCATATATCAAGAAATAAAGTTCAGATATCAGTTCAGTGATATCACGGAAGTGTGAGATTTAAAGACAGTATAAGTATTTCCAAAACATTAAAATATTAAGCATGTAATTACGAACTGATGTAGATAGCATTAAACTTGTATAATTTTATGAAATATAATGAGATTTCAAATAGTTTTTAAGGCTATTTTCATTACAGTATTTAATAAGAATGAGGGAATTTGGTTCTTTTAATGGTCCGTATTAAACAGTGTTTCAAAAAAGGACCTTTGTAATATATGTATATATGTGTGTGTGTGTGTATAGGTTTTTGTATATTTTATTATGTGTTATTCCTTGAGAATATTTTTAAGGGGTGATTCAGAAATTATACTGAGCACATACAAGAAATTTGTAAATATGATAATAATAATAGGTATAAAGTTAATAAAACAACATAGTTATTTTTTAATTTTTTATTCATTTTTCGGTATAAGAGGCTGTAAAATGTTTATTGTCTAGTTCCAATCAATCTTGTTTAAGTTTAATCTACGTAATGTGTTACTCCGAACGTTCTAAGCCAGACGTATTGTTTATTCAATGGCAGTATTTTTGTACAAACATCATATTATTTGTAAACTTGTATAGGTAGGTATCGAAATTAATTAAGTAATACTGTTTACATGACCCCACGATGTTCCCTCTTACGCGGGGATCGGGGGCGATAGGAGCCATGTCTTGGTGGGAACATTATAAATGTTGCGTTAATGCATATCTGTTATAAGAAATTAATAACATTATATTTCGATTTCGTTCATGACGACTTGTAGCTCAACTGTGACGGGGTTGTTCGCTATGGCTTCCATTGTTTGAGCTGTCAAACTCTAGCTGTCAATCTCGAGCTGTCAAACTCGAGCTGTCAACGCGTGCCAAAAAGGTTACATATATCCTAAACGTCGTAACATTCGTCTATTCGATTCGTTTTATTTAATATAATATATCTAATGAACGAGTATTATATTTTTCTTATAATTTTAACTGACTCCCGTGTTTCCCATCCCTTACGCCGTTTGTTCGTTTATTAAATATAACATTGTGCGGAACAAAAAAAAAAACGAATAACTTTACCACTGTTTGGTAATTACAATAAGTATTTATGGCACATGCGTACAAAATAACATAAAAAGTTATCAATATTTTTACAATAAGTAGGTACCAATTAAATGACGCGTCTCCCGATCGTATGAATCGCGAGACGCGTATTTATTTATATTCTGTAAAATGATTATAATTAAAGTAACCAAGTTACAGATGGGTAGATATTACAAAATTTACTTAAAAAAAACTCTATACAATATAAAACTATAAAACTATTTACTGTAACAAAGACGATTCATACCGAAATACTGTTTCTACTGCTAAATATCGCTCGACACAATTTACCTACCGTACAAAAACACATAAAAACTCCAAATAATATGAGGACGATCTACGTTTTTGATTTATTTCATTAAATGCTTTTTTATATATAAAAAAAAATTGTCGCCACCTTGATAGTATACATTTAAATACATCATAAATTATTATTAAACCTTCATTCATCCACACTCGTACATAAAGCTAGATTCACATTGCATTAAATGACTTATTGTACACAGCGAACCATTTGTGTCTTAATAAAAAATATTCAAAATTTGGTATATAATGTGTAGGTAACACTGTATACGGGCAGTGGTATTATAAAAAAAGATTTAAATTCATATAAAATATATAGAAAATGGTTGTTTTTGAAACATCGATGTATAACAACCACTTGCTATATTTTACAATATATAGTAAATAAAAAATTAATTGACATTTCATTGAGTAAACAGTCTGTTTGATAAGTTTAAATAAGTTCGCTGATACGATACATACACAACAAAAATATGCGAGGAAAATCACTAAAGAATGTTATTGCGTACACAATCCATTCAAGCAATATCTGTTTACAGGACACATATTGTCATAGAACGGTCATAAATATAATACACATAAGTTGGCTCACTAAAAATACAAGCGTATTATATCCTACGTCTAGATGTCGGCTGGAAGAGGGTAAAGAGATTAAAAAAAAAAATCAACTAAAACGTTAACAAAATACGACTTTCTCTATGGAAAATAAAATAAATAATTTACAAATTAGATACACGTTTTAAAAACTACCAACTAATAGTCACTTCAACGACGTTAAAAAACATTATCACTAATTTCATTTCGAACTCCTTCCTTCACCAAGCGTTGGTCGTCGCTTCGTTTATGTAAACGTCATTTTCGTTAAACGTCATTTTCTTTAAACGTCATTTTCGTTAAACGTCATCGTGACAGCTGTGACAGTTCGTGAGACGTCAACGCTTCGTTCGGGAACTCTAAACTAAATACAAGGAGCATGCCGCCCGCCGCACATTAAACTATCATAGCCTATTCCGAAACCATCAGTACCTACATTACTCAGTCATATTTTTCAGTCAATTTCTTATGAAATTACACCACACCACAACCATCTAAGTACATTAGCTTCTGACTCGTGCCCGCGTCGGAGCGACTCGTATCTGTTATACTATTAAAACATAAGAATTTTAAATACACTAAACGTTATTGTAATTTATCAATTTGTAACCGAAGGGGCCGGTAGCGTCCGGACGTGGAAAATATACGACCGTTTGAGATTTTGGTTTTCGATAAATGTCTATCAAGTAGTAACGGTACTCGACGCGGCGTATCGTACCCATTAACGGATCACTTAGGCTTAATTATATGAAAATTTAAAGACTCGGCCGATATACGAACAACAAGCGGCCGCTGTACGGCTGGAGGACCGAGATATTATAGAAACAGAACATATATATATAGGAGATCGCACCGACACGAGCATAACAACCCTCTAACACAGTTCCACCTTACCGTACGATAATCTCAACTCGTTAAAGCAAATTCATTCATTTTAATTAATCATTAAGTTATCAGTAACATCTAGGTTAATAATTTCATGATAACTAAGACAATTGGATCATTGCCGATAAAACTACGTGTTAAAGCGAACTAGGAATACAGGATGAGATAGATACTTTCAACTTTGGTAGAATAATATCATTCCTCACACGTCGAATCGTTTAGCGACGAGCTGACACGGGCTCGTCTGTAAGGTGCCCGTTGAGTATTACGAGTACGTCATACTTCACCGGCGCGTGTCGTCGGGAGGGCGACTAGTTCAAGGGCCATTCTCTGCGGAATGGCGTTGAATGGGAATGCTAGAGATTCTAGTGTGTAAGAGTGGAACGGTGCTAGTGTGCGAGCGCCACGGCTGCCCCGATCGCGAGCAAGCAGCTCAGCGGCCGCCCGCCTCCTGAGCGGTCGCCGAACGAAAAAACTCCCCGTCAGTAGTGGACATGGTCGACATAGTAGACTCGTCCCAGACCTCGGTCGTGGTGCTCGTGGTGCCCTCGTGTTTTCTCCGCGCCTTCGGGTGACGCTGCTTCTTCTTCGGATCGTTCGCTTTCTTGTGCTTCCTCTTCCTGAGGTTCTGTTTCTGGACGCGCCGCTGGCAGTTCCTGTGGAAGGGCGGCGGTCGCTTCAGTTTCCCGCGGTGCCGGCGCGGCGGGCACTGGCTGTGTTTGGCTCCTTCCCACTGACTGGTCATAGTGAGCGCATACCCGGACAGGTTCCCCAGAGGCCTGCTCAAAGGGATCTGGGTGCGTCGCGAGCGCCCCCTATTGTCCAACGCCAGATAGGTCTTCTTCAAGCCTCGCACCCTCGAGTAAGTGTTGTAGTTATTCTCCTCTATGTGCTCCTCGAACACGCAGTCGTCCGAAAGATCCTTCTGAAACAAAAGAGAAAATACACAATTAACCCGGTGACCAAGTGGTTTTCATTGCTTTCTATGGAGTGTATGAAACAATTTGTACCATAACAAGATGAAAGCGTGGACTATTAGCGCTAAGTGACTCGCCTCCTTATTATCGTGGGTACTCGTCGACATAACTGTCAGCCGGCATCGCCACAGATCATCGGCTACAAGGCGAGGCCGACAATTTTAGTTCTAAATTGGTGCCAACCTTATAGGATAGCAAAACAAATTGGCTATTCTATTCATAAATATGTATAAGTGTACAGCCGCAAGGTATTATGTCCCTTAAATTGTGCCCTGATTCGACTCTAAGTTTCGTATGTCTATGTATTAAGTTGAAATTGCAGTTGTTCCGTTTCCCTTCGTTGACAACTGGCTGTATCGGTACTGGGTACATCGAACCAGTAGTGAAATATCGATAAACTATGTAAAACTTACGCTATAGCATTCATTGTAAAGTATTGTAAATTATATTCTAACACTGCATTTCCCTGGCGCTGTCGTAAAATATCTGTATTTATTTCCTGCAATTTTCTCATTAAACATACTTATTTATGTGATATGTGGAATTTAAATTTTAAATTATTTAGGATCATCAATTCAATGATGTGACTTTAGTAGCGAATTTCCTGTAATAATTTGTATTTAAAAACAATTTAAGTTGCTAATGTAATAATAAAACATTATCTGCCATAGCTGCGTGCTCTATGGTCTACGGTATTTACTTTACCATAGACAACCACCCATGGAGCCAGACCTCTACACTGGTGCAATTTCATTGACATCCAAGCGCCTCGGGGATTACCATTGAAATTAATACGATGTTTAAATCACGGAAACGTCACTGTTATTACATCCAGACATATCTAATGGATGATTCAACTAAATATAATATCAAAACTCCTTTGACAGTTAATTTGTACTAGCTTTCCGCCCGCAGCTTCGACCGCGTGGAGTTGGTTATATCGCGTTTCCAAGAGAACCTTTCAAAAGTCTGGGAAAAAAACTATCCTATGTTCTTTCTCAAGGTCAACTCTATCTGTGTACCAAATTTCATTAAAATCAAAACGTAACAGACAGACAGAGTTACTTTCGCATTTATAATATTAGTATGGATAATATTATAAATAAAGTTATTTAACTATCAACAAATATCTCAATACAATTAATACTAACGAGTCAAAAGGATCTAACAGCTGAATACTCTATCAAGAATACGAAATCCTTATCTTATCAGCGGATCCTATTTCAAATAATAGCTAACGCTGTTTAAGAAAATTAGATCATAAAACGTACGGAGATAAATAGAGATTGATCGGCGAGATATCGACTATCGATGAAATATTGTAATTACTTACATCTTATTTGTATTTTGAATTTAATATCTAATTATACATAGTATAGACGCTTTTAAATCAAAACACATTACTGAGCATACCAAATGAGTATACAGTTTTAATCTTCTTAAGTATGAAATTCCAGTAGATTTTAGCTATTTGTAAATGTTTACTGACATACAGTTAAGCGATAAATTAGTTAAATTCAAATGTCAGCTTTGGCGTTATATGGACGTGTATTTAATTAAAAATTGTTAAGCATAATGCTTGTATATATATAATTCGCATGACTTTTGGTTACTTTAAAAATCATCTTAATCTGATGGGTGCATCATCTCATAAATATGTTGATATCATTTCTGATGGTTTTCCATAAAGGTAATATGCAATGCAAATCCTCTCAAACAAGAATATTCTAATTCGACATGCAAATACCTCTTACATCCTATAATGTTTACATTTTATCATAAATCGTCAACCTTTGGGTCAGGCGTTTTAATCGTGAAACATCGATGGATAGACTATCGATAAACAAAGGACAATAGGGCAGCACTAGTGCAAGGGTTATCTCCGGCGATCTCTATGTTAAAAACAATTGATAGTTCGGATGCTGTCCTTGTAAGGACTTTATGGAATTCAATTTCTTTGTCCATTTTGATTACGTCCCACTGTTGTCAGATGTCAATAATAAAACGGAACATAAAAGTAAATTTATACGATTGGATGAGATTACTTTTTATACTGTCACTGTGTTAAAAAAATATATATATATATGTACATGTGAATAATTGAATTTTTATATTAGTATATTCACACTAAATCTTTAAAATGAGTCCTTCCGTCCTTCACATAAAAAAACCATAGAAACAGCCTTCAAAGCCAGACGATTCTCACAGGAAAACCAATAAATCTATAGGCCAATGAGAGGCCGTTAGAGTGATATCGGCCTTCCAATCAGCATAGCTTCCCTTCATCCATACATCATCCGTGCGTCGCATAAATTAACACTAGATTCACAGACGACAGCTCGCAAATCCAGACCAACATAACGCTGGAGGTAAAAAGCCTCAAAAGTCCATCAAAATACTGAGAAAGGCAGGTCCTATAGATCTTTGTGTTCGCCGCTTCTCGGAAATCTTGAGAATCATGCCCTCGTTAGGATTAGTTCCATTTCGGCGCCAAGACATTCCTTATAACGTATTCCGTTCCATTCATTCATGATTGTATTGTTTTTAAATGTTTTCTTTTGGCTCAAATCATTTTTAAACTTGTCTTTAAGTCGTCATGTTATACTGAGATTTATTTCATTGAGTCCGCTTCACGAAGTAACGACCGGAGTAATAACGACATATATCTGTTCGAGTAATTTACACAAAACACCGTTTTGTAGATATTTGTATGACAATATTTTTAAATGCGCCCGGAGAGCTATAAATCTGTCGAGACTAGGACTCGCGTAATTGACGTATTTATTACTGTATAAATAACTCCCGAAGTGAGGTAAATTAGAACCCGGGATGTTCTGAATTAAAGAACTAAAACTAAATAGACAAAAAAATAACACTTTTATTATCTATGTTATTAGTGTAGTGTATGGTATTAAAAATAAATGAATTCCTGTCATATTTGACGTGTGAGGTCGCGCCAAATTTCCTGATTAGAAAATAGCAATGATCAACGTTAATAATGTTGTCATATTAATGACAGCTCTGGTCTGAAGGTGTTTGTTTAAATTGGATCAGATTTTGACTTCGCAGAATATACTAAAAAAGACGTTCGAAATATATAATTTATAACACGAAATATTTATGGCTTTTAAACAAATTAAGATATAAAGTATATTTAACAAGAAACAAGATTTATTATATCTAATGTTTACTAATAAAATATTCGTCTATTTATTACGCATCAAAATTTCCTAGTATTTTATAATGGTGCGTGTTCCTCTAACTGGCAGAATAGATCGATCTCTATCATATAACTTTTTATAATCCGTTCTGAAATCTTAATTAAACCAAAAAATCTCGTTAACACGTAATTATATGTTATGTTAATAATATGCAAACATTATTAAACATAATATTTGACCTTCTTTTAATAATACACTCTGATTTTGAGTCTAATAATAGTGTTGTAGCTTACCAAATTAGCACCTTTAAGATGTTAGTATGATTTTAATGTTAGCAATTTTTTTTTATCAAATGAGGCTAAGGTTGATTACATACAGCCAAAAAAAAAAACATAATATTATTGACTTGTAAATATTTAAAACCTCACAACCCAGACACTCCCCATATTAAACCGAACAGTTTTTTTTTGTTTCGCGCCAAGTCACAGCGCGTTAGCGTTATTCGATCCAAAAAGTTTTTATATGTAAAATATTAGAACAAAGGTGTAAAATAAAAAAGAGTAATAAAGTTTTATGAGACGGCGTTAGTGTCTCTAACGTTCTGTTATGGGAATTTAAACTCTGAATATTATGTTGCCGGGATGAGGCTTAATCTTTAATACAGCTATTATCATCATAAAACCCCTTTTAATACTTACACTACGGCTGTTATACAGAATATAAGATTTTATAGTTTCCATTGATTCCTTTGTAACATTTAAACAATGATTATATTGATTTTCATTACAAATATAAACATATATATAATTAATTTTATTATTATATACGCGTGATGTTAAATAAGATATAGTAAAGAGAAAATCGCAATAACTCCATAATGTACGTAATATAAATTGTAATTTTCACAGGGCACAGATTATAATTTATCATGAGTGTCACAGCACAGATAATATTCAAACTAAGTGAGTGTTATTGAAGCCAAGTGATAATTCAATCAGGTATGCAAGTGTTTACAGTAACGAGCCGAGGAAAGTATTGAAAATTACCGTGCAACTGATATTGTGTTATAAATAGAAATGTTTGTTTAAATAATAACTTAAATTATAGTCTCGGCTGAATGAAAGCGATCTACGTCAAATATTTAAAGTTAATTTAAAAAAAAAAAAACTTTTTAGTATAAACGAAAGAAAAATTTATTTATATTTTAAATCGATATACAAGTATAATAGTAAAAATTATAAAAAATAACATAACTTGCATATAAAATTTAATCAAGTAATTTACTTGTTATAAATTGAAATAAAATGACGAATGACCAATAAAATGTTCATTAAGAAATCGTTTTAGAGCCGTGAAATAGGACATTAGTCGCGGATAAACTGGCATTAGTAAAGAAAAAAGGATTCTGGCTATTATTTGATACTAGCTTTCCGCCCGCAGCTTCGCCCGCGTGGAGTTCGGTTATATCGCGTTTCCAAGAGAACCTATCAAAAGTCTGGTATAAAAACTATCCTATGTTCTTTCTCAAGGTCAACTCTATCTATATACCAAATTTCATTAAAATCAGTTCAGTGGTTTAGGCGTGAAAGCGTAACAGACAGACAGAGTTACTTTCGCTTTTATAATATTAGTAGAGATTTTATTCCTTGATAAAGTTAATTTTGATATTCATAAATACGTTTAAAGTAACCATAGATTCCACAGACAGGTCCCCGAGGTGACAATCCCAGTTTTTTTTATATAATACGATATCATTATTAATCATTAATAAATTTATAACTAACAAC